GAGTTAGCTTACAGTTAAAATAATTTTAGACCCGCTCTGGCACCTCCTTTTTATAAAATTAATTAAATGAAAATTAAAATATTTACTTTATGGAATTTGGCCGAAATAAATTTAAGAAAAATTGCTCGCTGAACTTTTTTTGTAGAAACGTCGCTATCTATTTAAAACATTTCGTAAAAATTTGTGAGCGAAATTTGAAATTTAAAATAATTGACACTGAATGTATGTTATTTTATACACTATTTTTACTGCTTATATTAAATAAGTGTGTAAATATTTAATTTCATTACAAATACAGATGCTGTGTGTATTTTTAATAATTCAGTATCTAAATAATACAATTTAACAAATACTGTTTGTATTCAAATTAGCTGCAATTTAAATTGCCAGTATTTCGGCAATTTCAATTTCCCGAAAAATACACGCTTGAAAAAGCAAAGCGCATGAAGTAAGCTTCTAAGCATGCTGAGCTACGAACAATTCGGTAAATTTAGGCAATTTGCATATTTTAATTGCAATTTTTCTACAAATACGTTTATTCCAGCTTTGTAGTTACATAATTGCATTAAGTGCGAAATTATGCCATTACATAATAATCGAATTTTGGCAAGCAGCCAGTGAGATGTTATTTGTTGTAAGCTTTTAAAGAGTGCATTGAATTGCACATTTTCGCATTTGAACCATTTGCATTTGTTTGAACGCAAACAGTTATTTATCATAACGGTTGCATATATAGCAATATTTTCAGCTAATTCATCGCACTAAATTAAACAAAATTAAATTAAAACTAATTATATTGAATAATATGAGCTCTTTATTGAGCATAATAACCGCGTAAGGCATTTTTAAAGTGTCTAAATTTTATGGCATAAATAGTTTTCCGAAAATGAAAGTATTGCCAAAATAAATATTATACATATCGTTACCGAAAATGCAAAATAACGTAACAACATTTTCGAAAATTCACAGTGGGGTGAATGAAACACGAAATAAAATGGAACAAGAGTGAAAAAAATTTTAGTATTGGTTAAAACTGGTTTATATTTGAGCACAGAACCTGAAAACATATATAATATTATGTATGTATTTTGGAGTAGTGAATCGTAATCAATAAGATACTCAGTTTCGATTGTTTTGATGATACGTTATTTTGCATTTTAGGTGACGATATACAATATATGTTTGGATGATGTATAAATCAAACTTTTTCAAAAATGTCAAAAAATACTCTTAAAATTACAGAGAGAGAGTGGAAGAGAGTTACACAAGCTAGAATTGGTTTCGTTGTTGTTATGAACGCACAATTCTCCGGGTGACAGTCAACGCTTTTACCAACAGCAGAAAGCGATTACACAACCTCAACTTTGTTGCAAACACACTCCTTTTTCTTGGTCCCTTGATATTAACTGCGAATACTAAGCAAGCTTGAGTGAGTTACAATTAGCCGTTCTTGCAACGGATGTTTTAATGTAACCGAAAGGGTACCGCGATTTTTATCTCCTCAAGGTCTGTACAACCTGTATTCCATGCCACCAAGTACACTTCAAAATTACTTGGAAAATATTTTGTACCGCAAAGTTGCCTTTAGGAAAGTTTCACAATGTGTTGAAAATAGAAATTTACAAACCGAGCTTTGGTGAGAAGGTTGAAGAAGTTCTACAAAGCGAGGTTGATAAGTGTGAGAATATATTCACAGACCAAAACCGTGAATAACCAAAAATCATAGAGCCCTAATTTAAACCAACGTTATGGTGTACTTATATAAGAAGATTTAATTTAAAATATTTTAGAAGCTTCTGATTTGAAGGACAAAGCTGGAATTGCATCAAACAAATTCCCAGGTTTATTAAAATGGTTTTAGTTTCAATAGACGACAGCAAAATATCCAGTAATAAATAGTTTAAGCATAACAAAGCGGGACACAATTGGCATAGCTTGGGTATTCGACATCGTTATTTGGTTTGTGGAATACGAATCAGTTGTCTGTGTACAAACCTAAATTTGATTTTGTCAGAATCTTAGTTAAATTTTAGATTCCTTCTAAACGCTAAATCAAGAAATTGAAAGCAAATATCTGTCATCTGCAACTAGATGTGCTATTAGAGTTCTAATTTGACAGAAAATTTCGAAAAGAGGCTTGGTTATGTTATAAGACTTTAGCCAGTAGTCTATTAGGGAACATCTTTTGGGTGATATTTTGAGCCAAATCTCCATGCAGTTGGAAGAAGAACACTTCCTCCTCGAATGTTAGTCTTTTACCAGAACAATGCAAAAAACCCTCAGATCAGACAAAGGGGAAACATAAATAAAACACTTAAGACGATTTCTGTTAGGTTAATTTTTGCCGATAGCTTATTGCTTATACTAAAGGATCTAACATAACTTAACCTTCTTTGAACTGAGAGAGAAGAGAAACGTACAGATTGGAACCACCGAATAAATTCTAGGTAAGCTGTTGAATAAATGCAACTTCAGCATTTCCGATCTGAATTGAAAAATAAAGCATAAAACATTAACATTGGAATACCTCTTCCTTTTTCAGATCATATTTAGATTCTTAACAACTCAGTTCACGCTACTTAAGCTGATGAAAGTTGGGCATTCATTAACTTTAAGACTGACTTTGCGGGAAGAAGGAATGAAAGTCAGAGCGAGCATGACTATTAGTAGGCCCAAAATAATTTTTGTCCTCTGTTTATAACTTCCCGTATTTAGTTTCTATTTTACTCTCTGGCTGATTTAACCTGATGTCATATTTGATTATGGTTTATTTACATTTTCTGTATTCCCAATCTTCTATAATCAGGAAAAAGAGCGACAGTAAACCCGTCACCTCACATTTCACATTTGGGAAAGAATAATGGTACGGAAATGATGAGAATCAGTTTTTTTTGGCTCTGTATTTGTTTTGTAATTTAATATTTAGGTAAGGTTACATAGACGACTTTTGGTCCTTTGCGATACCAGATGGAGTTCAGTTACTAGTTCCTTTAGGATGCTTACGCTTGACGTGAATTTCAACAGATTCTGTGGCCTCTCTATCCTCCAGTGTATCATACTGAGAGAACCTCAGATGATTACAACGTAGTCTTGCCAGTAAGGGACAAGTGCACAAGAGATGCTCGATTGTTTCCTGCAGTCTCCTCAATCTTTCAGTCCCATACTGTTTGCGTGTGTGTAAGTACTGAGCGACACGTTTACATTATAGACTTTAGAAGTTTTTTAGACTTTTTAGGTATAATATTTCTTTACGGTTGCAAATGCGCAAATCTTACTCTTTCTTTTGATACTCTTTACTCATTGTATTATGTTTACATAAAAATTATGTTGGTACATATATGTTATAAATGGTAAATATTTCCTAAAAACTTTGTCTCTCATTTTATAAATAATGTATAATGTGGCTTAATGCTAATAAAAGCATAAGTTAAGTTATATTTTTTGCTTTTGTAGTTTCATCTTTTTGGCTGACTAAATTCAAGCAAGTATTTTTTGTTTGTAAAAATTAAATATTTAGAATTTTTCAAAATATTTTTTGTTAGCCTTATAGTTATAATATATATTATATTATCTTAAACATAGAGATTGAGTTAGATATAAACTAAAATGCAATGCACAACAAAGCAAATGTAAGCATAAAAATTAAGAAATGAAATTTTAGTTATTTTAATGCAAATTTTGGCAAACATTTCATATAAAATTTTCACTTAATAAATAAATGCTTAAATGCATATAAGTCAAATTACTTATGTTGCTTAGAAATGTTTGACATTCGCATATGTAGTGTTAGTAAACTAATTCCACTGTGAATGTATTCGCCAAGGAGATTATCGCATAACTGTTGTAAGTGAATTGGAAATGAATTTGGCGAGCATGAATGAAAGACGAGACACAAATGGCGCGTGATTGCGGTGAGCAGGAGCGAGTAGTACTTGTATGGCTAAATACGCACTTACGGGATTATAATTAATTATTGTTTTACTTGGAATGTACTTAATAATATAGTGAAATGTGTAAAGATATTAATGTTGGGTGGAATTGAGTTTGAAGAAGTTAAGTTTGCTCAAATTATTATGGAATGCTTAGTCAAATGGAAAATGTAAATAATAGTAAAATTTTGGCACTAAAGCTGTTAGAAAAAATGTCTGGTAATTCATTTTTTAAATACTGTTAATCATAGGAAGTACCTACATGAAATGAAAGCACATAAATTTTATGTTTGTTTATGATAGATCGTTTTTAATAGACTGAAATATTATTTTAAAAAATAACGTGAAATAAAAAAATTACTTTTGCAAGAAGTTGGTAGGATAACAGTAGTTCAAACTACATGAAAAATTATGCTTAATATATAAAGGTTTGTCTTAAAAATGCATAAAAAACATATAAAACAAAAATCAACAATAATATAACGATACATTTTAGTTTGTAGCTAAAAATAAACATAAAGAGAATGTCACGTGCAAAGCTAACGAGCTAATCGTTACTAAAAATGCAACACAGCGTTGCTTTTAAATTACGCTAGAAACTACAGTTATATTTGTTTTAGTTACACTGGCGCTTTTAACGCATATATGCTTGTTATTCTTGCCTTTGTCGCTAGTCTATAACATTAATGAAGTCGTAAACTGTCTACAACGATAATTAGCTAAATTGGATATATTGGATACATTTTTCGCAACATGTCATGTTAATGGCGTGCAAGCCAACAGAGTCGTATTAGTGGTTTTTGTGCGCGCTAAGAAAATGGAATTAGGGGCATGCCTCAGGTGACGGGTGCCGCTAAATATGGAAAACTACTTCATTTTATTTCGCAAAAGTTGAGTTTGCTTATCGTTGAGTGAGAATTAAGGTATGAAACTAAGTTGCTTGCTTCAAGAGGTGATACTGTAACAATAACAAAAAGAACTAAACATGACTCATACGTTTTAGGCACACAAACGTTAGCGTAAGGCGCACAATTTGCGGAGCGAAAGAGATAGTGAGTGTTGTACACTTACACAGCGGGTAATCTACGTCCTTTGGAATCATACAGTGGATAATAGTATTTGTTCCTAAATTTATAAAAAGATTGTAATAAGAGAATAAATAAATTAATAGCGCAAATTAAATATACAGAAATATATATCAGTATATATATTTTTTTAATATACTATAAATAAAATGTGTGCTTATTTTGTATGCCTGTAAAAGTTTTTATAAATAATATTTAAGCTTAAATGGTTTTTTATAAAAAGCGGGTACTTTATATTGGAGTAATGAAAAAAATTTTGGTTTAGTAAAAAGCGGTAAGAAAATAAACCAGTAGCTGTTGGAAGATTTGGAAAAAGTTTTAATAGTATGAGTAGATATGCGATACTTATAATAGCCTAAAGATATTTTTTTATTAATGCGGACAATATTTTATTAAAAAAAAATATTTATTTAATGTTTTTTAATGTTATTAATTAAATAATCGTTAAAAAAATTCAAAATTGTGGGGGTTTTTCAGAATACTAGGGTAACAAATAAGTTATCAGCTTGGTCGAAAAGTTGAATATTTTTGTAGAATAATGTTCTTATTTCAAAAACTATTACGGGTATTAACGCTAAATATACGGGAAATTTTTTTTTAATACTAGGGTAACAAATAAGTTATCAGCTTGGTGGAGAAGATGAAATTCTCCTAGATAAATTGCTATTTATAAAATAGTTATAAGTTTCGAAATAATATTTTTTGTAGAGTACAAGGGTAGCAAAGAAGTTCTCGGCTTGATGGAAAAGTTGAATATTCTCCTAGAATAATGTTCTTCTTTATAAAATAGTCAAAAATTCACTAAATAATATTTTTTTTAGTATACAAGGGTAGCAAAAAAGTTCTCGGCTTGGTGAAAAAGTTGAATATTCTGGTAGAATAATATTCTTACTTGTACAATCTCCAACTTGGCACGAAATAATTGTTTGCAGGATACTAGGGTAGCCAATAAGTTATGAGTTAGGTGAAAATGTTTAATATTCCGGTAGAATATTATTGATAATTTAAATTACTCCATTTTTTCGGGTTTAATATAATAATTTGTGGATAATAATGAGGCGCCTTTTAAGTATCATCTTAAGACCAAAACTATACGGATATCTCAGTAAAACCTCAAATACATACAAGTTACAAGCTGAATATTTGCACCTAAAGTATGCCTTGAAATAATTGAATTTTGTTTTTGGAAAAAGAGTTATAATACTTACATATATGTATACTTATATCTAGAACAATTATTAGATCACTAGTTAATTACTTTTTAGTTTTTWTTTTACAATATTTACAGGTCATAATTAAGTGATAGTTACATAAGTGAAATATTTAAAGGGCTTTTTGTAATGAATTTTATATCCTACACTAGTACACATTTTTTAAAATATTTCATTGAAAATATTTTTTTACAATATACAGAAATAATTTTATAAAATACGGAAAATTATTATTAAATTTGTGTTGTACTTACGGTTTCGGCAGTATAGTATTGTTCAAATTGTCCTTCCATTGCAGATCGGATACCAAATTCGGATCGGGCACTATGGGTTTGCAGGTTAAAATCAGTGATTTGCCAACTGGTTTGCGTTGCACGCCTTGCATGGGGAAAATCTCTAATTTTGGTTCGATTTCAGCTAGTGTGAGATCTGAAATTGAAAGTGAGTAGAAAATTAGTACAGGGTTTGCTTGTTTTCGATGTAAAAAAATTCAAAAACACAGTTTTTAAAAAAAATAAAATATGTTCCAAATAATTTTTAAAACTTTTTATTGTTATTTCTTTATTTTCCCATATGCAATGAAATATGCATACCCATCAGGTTGCAGTCAATAACTTTCAGCCACATGCATTATTATTTATTGCACCATTTCATGGCATCACGATTATCACTCACATGAAAACCACTTATTCGACCCATCAATTCACACATCGCGTTATAAAATATTTTTTACTTATTTTATTGTTTTACCACACCACAAACCGACAGCAGCAAGTGCCCTAAGTGACCCCCCATCGCCTGAACATGTGTGCCGCGTTTCCAAAGCTTCGCATGCAGCAGACGAAAAATAATTATTATATATGTATGTCATACATGTATGTATGTAACATAAGTATATTGGTGTATAAATGTGTGTAAATTCCTTGCAGCAGACAGCGCTAGCAAATCGATTGCTTAATCACAATTAAAATTAGGCTGCGCACAGAAGCGCCAAAAGCGCAAACACTGCTGTTATTTGAAACTGTCAGTGTTCAGTGCTTGTGCCGCGTAGAGTCCGCTTAAATGCCAGCAGCTGTCAAAATTGCGTTGAGCCGTGCGAAGTTTGTTCCAAACTATGCTTGTTCCATTTTTGAAATATTATTGAATGCATATTTCTGTGTTTTACACAAAGCTTTTTGAGGTTTCATTTGACTTGTGAAAATGCAAGCACATGTGGTTCAAATATACATATGTACATATGGGCCAACGAATATTTGTACGCCTATTTTCCGCTTTTAACATTCCGGAACATTTTTACGACTGCTGGAATGTTTCAATGAACTTGAATGGCCGCAGTGGAACCCACCCAGCTGTCAGTTTGTGGGTGTTATGGGAAAATCACTTAATAGTGAAGAGAAAAGTAATAAATTTAACTTTTTAACAATTTTATGCATTGCATTTCTATTTACAGTGCGTTACGGTAAAGCTACAGTCAGACATAACTTCAAAATAAGAAATTAAAATGTTTTACTAAATCAGGGTAAAGATGTATGTGTTTGTAGGTATACCATATATAAAAGTTTTTCTCAAATCAGTTAAAATTTTTTTATTTTTATTTTATTTTATAAAAGCTTACATAATAATACAATTATTATACAAACTTAAGAAAATACGCAGCACTCAGTTAAAAATTATTTCTTTCTAAAATATGTAAAAATTTTCCTAGATTTTTAGTTGGCAACAATACACTAAAAGGTTTTTTGTCAGCATAATTACAAAATATAAATAAAACGGAAAAATTAGGAAATATTTGGTATTAGATACGTTCATATTTCACAACCATACTTTTGTACCCTTTTTAAATGCCACTAACAATAAATTTTTGCATAATCATAAAAATTAATTTATTAAAAAAAAGAAATACTGTTTAAAACTAACAAATTTACTTATTGAAAATAACTTTTTTAACGAAATCTTTAAGTAAAAATAAAAAATTTCATATATTAGTTTAAACCAGAAATTTTTATCGATAACTATAATATTAATCGATTTTTATACTTTTTATCAAAAATATTTTTATGTGAAATACATACATTGGAAGATTTAAATTTTTGCTTTAAATGAGAAATATTTATCGATAAATATACCATTAATCGATTATGTATGTATTTCTTATCTAAGATATTTCTGATGACATAGTTAGCTCACATAAGAACGTATAAACGATAAATGTTTATCGCTAAACATAATATTAATCTCCCACTCGCACATTAAAATATGTCAAATATTAGTTCAAATGTCGTATTATTACATAATATTAATAGATTTTTCAATCTTTTTTAGCAAACATATTTTTCTATAAAATATTTAATGCAGATTTTTTAAATTTTTTCATTAAACGAAAAATATTTATCGATATATATAATATTAATCGATTAATCGATTTTTTTAATCTAAAATATTTTTATTAAATTTTGAGCTGACTGTTGAAAATATCAAATATATTATATACTATATATAATATATGCTAATGTATCGCAGCTTTTACTGTAACTTTGCATATTTACAAATAATGCTAAAAGCAGAACTTGCGCGCTTAACATGTGTCCATTGTGGCAACAGTCGAACGCCGATGCGTATATGACATATTTGACAGCTGCTTGCGGCTTGACTGCCAAGTTGACGGGCGCAAACGATTCGAATTCATGCGCAACGGTAGTATCTGCATAAATGCTTACACATCCATATATTCATTACTTTTCTGTTTTTCTTTTCCACCATCTGTTTGATACTCGATTCATATTCATCGCCTTATTTTTTTATTTTCCGTTCATAATTGTTTTGATTAATTTTTCAACGCCTTTAATATTTTGTTTACTTTTCACACACTGCATTATTAGCGCTTGAACTCACACCCACACCCACACATACACATACTTACAGTTATTCAATTTACAGTGTTTCAATTTGACGCCCGCTGACGTTGGTTTGACGCACGGCAGCGCTATAGCCTTGCGCGTACTCGTTGCAGCTGTCAGTTGTTGCTGTCAAAATGGCAACAATATGCCAGTGAACGGTGCTAGCTTGCTGCTGGGCATATCATCGTTACATGCTGTAAGGGCGCATTACATAATTAATATTCGTTGGCTAATTGATAACTGTATTTTCGCGAAATGTGAAAGGAATAAAACAGTGGACTGAAATTTATGCTGATCATTTAATAACGTATAACTTAACTTTGCTCAAGCAACGCTGCTAGTATTTAGCCTTTCTTTTATTGTTCAAAGTTGTTTTAAAAATAAATAATATGCGGCGCGCGTTTCGATGATCCGCTGGTACTTATTATCCTTTGCTAAATAATTTATTAGCAATAAACAGTTTTACTTTACGACTAAAGTTTCGCACATAAACTTTGACAGTTTTGCTAAATTATCGTTAGATATTTATAAATTCACTGCAAATGTCATAAACAACAGCTGACGTTTGACAAATGACTTTGCTGTTTGCTTTCTTAGGAATTGAAACTTCCTAAGAAGGAGATGTAAATTTGGAGTTTTCACAAGTAGTACAGCAAAATGTCAAAGTCTCAAATAGTCGGAATGAAATAACTGTGATTTGGGCTGGTTTTTTATTTTTGATATTTAAAATAATGGTCAGGAATTTATACTAGTTGTAATGTTTGTGACATCTTGCAGCCGGCCGATCTGAGGCCATCATTATGCTTATTACACGCCTTATTGGTAAGTACATTAAGCCATATCCAGCAATTCAGAGGACTTGGTAAAACATACTTTTTTTATCTCAGCCGCCCAAGGTGTGTTATGTTAGAGAATTTGAAGCGGTGGAGTATATTCCGTCTCATCCAGCGCATCATCATCTACCGCCATGTTTTGCATTCCGCCGAATCCTCTTTTCAAATTTTCAGAAGGTGGAGTTGACCCCTACAATATTACTAAAAGCGTTTTGTATTGCCCAACATAAGCACTACTCTCACTCGTTCCAGCTGTTGATGGCCAACTCGTCTATCTTTTGGTTTCCTTCTATTTTTATATGACTAGCTATCTGGATGATATTACCTACTGTGAGTCTAATTGTTTGCTTGTTTCCTAATCTAAGGCAGTGGGACTTAGTATTGGAGCCTTAACTGCCACCTGGCTTTCCACCAGAAGGCGTATGGACTTAAAGTACAAGGCATGGAGGTCTGCGAGACTAAATTGTAGCTATTCAGTTTGAAACTGCTTTTTGCGTGTGGATTATTACAGAATAATGTTGCTCCCATACTATTTAATGCTTTGATGAATTGGTGAATATGAAAATTAAGACGGTGGAAATGCCGATCACCGAACCATTGATCTATTCAGTACCACTGGGGAATATAAATGTTGTGTTTAAGTACTCAGGCATCTCCTTTTCTCAGTCGCAGTACTAATTTAGCCCGAGTTCATTAACAAGATCTAGTGTGACACCAGACGGTAAACATTGCCTTATACTTCACATGAATATGTATGTTTTAGTTTGATGTCGAGAATAACCTTAATCCGAGAATAGAATTAACGCTCAGCAAGCTTACCCGTTGCACCTGTTCCTTAACACCTGTTTCTATGTTTTCACACCATATATTAGTTAGAGATGAATGACACTTATCTAGAGCCAATAGAACAGCTTACATATTTGACATTATGTTTACAAATTCAATCCCGCGTATCTGTAAACTATCTGCAGACTCTTATTTGTAATTAGAAATCTATATTTTCATCTAATTTTTAAGTTATCAATGATTTCATTCTCTACGCAAATATTTTCTCCGAAAAAATAGGGAATTTGCCTTATTTGTATGAATTGAGAGATTTATGATTTCAAATTATTGATATAAATATTATGATAATCAAATTATTTTCATCGAAAATTATTATTTTATTTTAAAATTTTGAAATATTTCTCTCAAATTCTGAATGTAACGAATAGAATCTGCTTCAATATGAGCTGGATATATCAGCATCAAAATGAGCTAATCGGAGAGATTGGAGAGAAGATATGGAAAATATTTAAATGTAGTCAGTTTTTGTAACAAAATACTATATAAGAAAGTTTTCGTTTAATAAATATTCAGCGGTGTGAATTCTTAAATGGCACAAATATCTGTTTTATCATCTTTTTGTGAAGCAAGAAGTCTGGGCTATCGTTTTTGGAGCAGTATCGTTGTATATTTCAAGCTATCCACTTGGATTTCTGTCTTGACATGTCATTAATCAAAATAGACACACATACCCAAACTCTTCTGTACAATAATTTATAGACCCAGAGATAGTAAGAAGTCAACTCTACTAGACACATGCGGCGTGGTGCAATAAATCCTCAATCTATATACATATCAAAATTTAATCAAGTGAAATTTACGATACAAAGCAATTGCAACTCTCCAGACAGCTTGTCTAATTTGACATTTAGAC